CACACACACACACAGAGTTGCTCACTGGCCGGCAGGCACATGCACATGTGCACACACCCACCCACCTGGACCTCCAGCATTGTGAACGGCTCCCATACCCTCCTCCTTCCCTCTACCATGGTTTTGTTTGTTTGTTTGCTTTGGAAACTAGGAAGTAAGTATTGTGGATTAAAGACTAGTGGTCTCTTACTACTCACATTTTGCTTCTTGCTTTAAAAAGGCAAGATACTATCTTGTCAATTTGATACAAACTAAAATAATCTGGGAAGAAAAAAATATATCAATTGAGAAAATGCCCCCCACCGCCTCCTACTGGCCTGTAGTTAAGTCTGTGCAGCATTGTCTTGATTGATAACTGAAGTAGAAGGCCCTAGTTCACTGTAGACAGTGTCACCCTGGGCAGTCCTGTATGGTATGAGAAGGCAGGCTGGGCAAGCGATGAGCAGCAAGCCACTAAGTAAGCAGGGCTCCTCTATGGCCTCTGCTTCAGTTTCTGCTCTGACTTCCTTTGATGAATTGTGACATGGAACTGAAGATGAAAGAAGCCCTTTCCTCCCCAGGTTGTGTTTGGATGTGGTGTTCTCAAAGCAACAAGAATATTAGGACAACTAGATAAACAAAAGGTCCTGATACACTCTACATATGACCCCACCACCACCACCACACACACAGGGTTTCTCATGTAACAGTTCTGGCTGGTCTGGAACTCACAGAGATCCTCCTGCCTCTGCATCCCAAGTGCTGGGATTGAAGACGTGTGCCTCGACTGCCTGGTTAAACATTCTTTATAAGAACAAATGTCAAGGGGACTCGAGAAGAGCACTGGCTGTTCTTCCAAAGGTTCTGAGTTTAATTCCCAGCAACCACATGGTGGCTCACAACCATCTGTAATGAGATCTGGTACCTTCTTCTGGCCTGCAGGCAGAACACTGTATACATAATAATAAAATATTTTTTTAAAAGTTAAAAAAAATAATAATAAAAAGACAGGCCAGGCGGTGGAGGCACATGCCTAGAATCCCAGCACTTGGGAGGCAGAGGCAGGTGGATCTCTGAGTTCAAGGCCCGCCTGGTCTACAGAGTGAGTTCCAGGACATCCAGGGCTACACAGAGAAACCCTGTCTCGAAAAACCAAACCAAACCAACAAACAAAAAGGAGACAGAATCTCAGTATGGTGCACATGATTTTAGTTCCACCACCTGGTTGGGTGAGGTATGAAAATCATGGATTCTAGGCCAGCTTGGGCTAGTAGCAAAACAAGATGCCCTCAAACAAACAAGAAGAAGAATAAGAGGAGGGAGGGGAAGGAAAGGAGGAGAAAGAGAAAGCAAGCAGAGGCACTGTTCAGTTCTGGATCACTTATCCACAATAGAGCAGGTCCTGGATCCAATGCTCAGCAATGGATGCTGAATCAATCAATCAATCAATCAATCAATCAATCAATCAATCAATCAATCTCTCTCTCGTTTTATTTTTTTTTAAGAGTCTATTTACCTATTATGTATACAACATTCTGCTTCCGTGTATATCTGCACACCAGAAGAGGGCACCAGATATCATAATGGATGGTTGGGAGCCACCACGTGGTTGCTGGGAATTGACTCAGGACCTCTGGAAGAGCAGTCGGCGCTCTTAACCTCTGAGCCATCTCTCCAGCCCTCTCGTTTTATTTTTGAGACAGGGTTTCTCTGTGTAGCTTTGGAGCCTGTCCTGAAACTCACTCCGTAAATCAGGTTGGCCTTGAACTAACAGAGATCCACCTACCCCTGCATCCTGAGTGCTGGGATTAAAGCCATGCACCACCACCCAGCTGCAAGTGGAATCTCTTTATCAGTGAATCAACAAGCCGAGAAGAGAAGGAATGGCACTTTACATCAAAGGATCCAGCCAGCATTAGGTCTAACAATATCTTCAAACAGGGCTACTGCAAAGCATCTCTGTCTTACCTAGAGGGTACAGGAGTTTGGGTGTTTGCCTCCGCCAAAGAGTTCCATCTTCATGGGAGAGCACATCATGGGGCTTGTGCTTATGAAGTTCATTATAAAAAGACATCTTATCCAGGAAACTGTATACCTGCCAATATCCAGAAAAAAACCTAGTGACATACTCACTTATGGGACAAAAGGGTTCCATGCCAGTTCTTTAAACCAGACTGTATGTGCTTGTCCCCTAGACTTCTGCCAGAGTACTGCCCTCAGCTCTTCTCAGTTAAGCCTCACCATTCTTTACCTAACTCAAGTTCCCCTTACCCCCCCCCCCCCCCCCCCCACACACACACACACGCACGTCTCTCTCTGCTTGCAACTTCTTTCAATCAAATCCAGGACTGTGCAAAAGCTGGGGAAACAGTACACACAAGGCACATCCTCACAACTATTACTCATTTCTTAAATCTACTGTCCTCTCCTAAGCAGACATCAGACAACTGCACCCTTATTCTCATGGCACCTATCATAGGTATTTAGTAAAAAGATTTTTTTTTTAAGTCTTATTTATTATGTATACAGTGTTCTACTTGCGTGTATGCCTACATGCCAGAAGAGGGCACCACAGCTCATTATAGATTGTTGTGAGCCAACATGTTGCTAGGAATTGACCCCTGAAAGAGCTGACAGTGCTTTTAACCTCTAAGCCATCTCTCCAGCCCAAACTACATAGAACTGAGGTGACACCAGTGAATTGGAGTATTCCATTCAATTTCAGACAACTTCTTGTCCTGGCAGTGGACTTCCAATGTAGAGCACACACAGGAGTCCCGGGGGAACCTCGGCCTGCCCTCCCCTCCCCTTTTCAGAAATCTGACTAAAGCACTTACCTTTTTGGCAGTAGACTTCCCTGACACTAAGGCTCGCAGCAATTGCAAAAGTGGGGACAGGAGATGTGGAAACATCCCACACACGCTGTCCAGAATGATGCCAAGACCAGAGGTTGGTTCCTAAGGTAGAAAGGAAGAAGTCACCCCTCTTCACAAGTGCCCAGCAATCCTAAGAAAATTTAGAAACAGAGCCTGCAGAGATAACTCAGCAGATAGAAAACTGACTGCTCTTCCAGCAGACCCAGCTCCCATATGGCAGCTCACAGCTAACTCCCATCTCATTATCCAACACCCTGTTCTGTCTGGTCTCTACAGGCTGCCCATGCTCATGTGTGCAGACATAACATTCACACACATGAAACAAAACAGTTTTAAATTCTTTTTTCTTTTTTTGAGACAGGGTTTCTCTGTGTATCCTTGACTGTCCTGGAACTTGCTCTGTAGACCAGGCTGACCTCAGACACAGAGATCTGCCAGCCTCTGCCTCCTAGATGGTGCACCACCACCATCTGCAAAAAAAATTTTAAAGTTCCTATGTTTAAAAGAAAATCTAGAAAATAACCCTTTCCTATACAAAGACATAACTAACACTTTCTCAATAATGTAAGACATGCCGTGTGTTGGTGACGCACGCCTTTAGTCCCAGCACTTGGAGGCAGAGACAGGCGGATCTTTGAGTTGAGGCCAGCCTGGTCTACAGAGCAAGTTCCAGGACAGCCTCCAAAGCAATACAGAGAAACCCTGTCTCAAAAAAAAAAAAAAAAAAAAAAAAAAAAAAAAAGTAAGACATTCATATTCCACTGAAAAAAGATACAAAAGTATTCATAACCTGAAAAGAGGCTGCCTGTCTATCCAGTTCCCTTATCTTGGCCACCCTTTCTCTAGGCAGAAAACATTAATTCCTTCCGCTATGCTTCAATTAAAGTGAGAACTACCCCAAATCATGTCAATGCTTAGCCAGCACAAACAAGCAACACAGATGCCCAATCTAAATATGGTTTATAACAGCTTCTCTCAGGGAGTCTGTAGGTTTCAGAAGTTAGCAGTGTCCCTGAAAAGAGTAATGCATATAAGCAGATCCACCCAGCTGGGATACAATTGAAAAGAGACATAGCAGTTGGACCCTGAACCTTCAAAATGTTAATTCTAAAACCTATTACAGTGTTTTAACAATTCTCTTTGCTCAACAGCAGCAGTTCTCAACCTGCAGGTTGCAACACCTTTGAGAACTGAACGAACCTTTCATAGGGGTTGCCTAAGACCACAGGAAAACACAGATATTTACATCACAATTCATAACAGTAACAAAATTCCAGTTATGAAAATAATTTAACAGTTGAATGTTACAGGATATTTGATCTCTGAAGATGTGTTGCTGTTTTACCTTGCTTGTCTAAGGCACTGACTGGTTTAATAAAGAGCTGAATGTCCAAAAGCTAGGCAAGAGAGAACACATGGGACTTCCAGGCAGAAATTGGAACTTAGTAAGGAAGAGAGGTGATTTCTCCTCCAGGGAAACAGGGAGTGAATCAGTGGTACAGAATGGAGGAGCGGTAAAGAGTCAAGTGGCAGAACATAGATTTAACAGATGGGTTAATTTAAGTTATAAGAGCTTCACTACCTTACACTACACTAAGGACAAGCTTTCATAATTAATAAGTCTCTGTCAATATTTGGAAGCTGGTGTTACAAAGAAAAGTTCAACAAGAAAGTCCTGCTATAATTGCAGGCCCCATAACAAAAGCAACTGCATCAAAGGGCTGAGCAATAGGGAGGTTGCATTGTCACATACTTACTGTTCCCCAGAACAACTCTGGAAGAGAAGGGTCTGCCAGGACTTCACAGGCTGTATCAATTACATCCTGTGAAGAGAAGAGATGGTTTATCTTCCTGGCATGAGCCAGCTTCTCTTACGATATTCTATTAACATAAAGACATCAACAAATATGTTCACACATGTCAGAAAGAACTCTGGTTCACACTTATGGCATGGTGCTGCATGCTTATGATCTATGCACTTGAGGGACTGAGACATGCACAGACAGAGTCACAACTTTACCTTTACTTTTTTTTTTTTTTTTTTCAGAGACAGGGTTTCTCTGTGTTGTCTTGGAAGTTCTGAAACCCAGACACCCCGGTTCAATTCCCAGCACCCACATGGCAGCTCACAACTTTCTGTTCCAGGGAATCTGACACCTTCACACAGACAAAACACCAAAGCACACCAGAAAGGAAGAAAGGAAGGAAGGAAGGAAGGAAGGAAGGAAGGAAGGAAGGAAGGACGGACAGAAAGGGCAGTTGCAGCTTAGAGGGAAAACACTGCTCCATAAGCCTGACAGCCCAGGTTTAATCACTAGAATCCATGCAACGGTAGAAGGGAGAACTGACTGAAAAGTTGTCCTCTGGCCTCCTTCCTCAAGCAATCACTCATGCTCATGCATACATACATACACCATCTATCTACATACAATAATATGATTATTTTAAAATTGTTTTTTATAAATTTAAACTTAAAAAATTTTAAAGCAAGAGTAAAGCTATAAAGCTAGACATGGTATGCACACCTATACTCTTAGCAGTCAATATTAATCTCTGGATCCCTTGAGCCCAGGAGCTCACATCCAAACAAATCTCTGTGAGTTTAAAGCCTGCCTGGTCTATCAACCAAGAACCAGACCAGCCAGAATTATACACTGAGACCCTGTTCCAAAACAAAGAAAAGAAAAACAACAAAACACATACACAAGCAGGCAGTGTGCAGCTCGCCTGTCAGGGAGTGTCAAATTGTCAGGATGCACATCCAAAGTCACAGTCAACCATGAACCAAAATCATTTGGGAAAGTGTCTGCAACATGTGGGAGGTTGAGATGAGTCTGGGCTACCTAGTCTCAGGGCCACCTGACTATAAAATGAGACTATATCTCAAATACAAAACAAGACAGTACAAACAATCATGTCTGTGTATCAAACATACATACTATTACTATAATTATTCCCTAGACAGGATAGTATAACTACAATTTACATACTAGAAATCATCAGTCACCCAGAGATAATCTAAGTATATAGGATAACATGAACAAGTTTTATATGAATCTTTTGCTATTTATACATGGGAAGTAAAAATCAGTGGATTGTGGTAAACTAGGAAGTTCCTGGACCTAATGCTTGGAGGATACCATGACAGAATCGTATATAACATGATTCCAATACAGAATTATACTAGAATTTACAGTGTATGTGTGTCTGTCTGTAAAATGGAAAGGACATTTTCAATGGTAACTATATATATAGTTATATATATATCATATAATCCCTTTCTGTATAATAGGGTTATATACTTTGTATCACTTTCTGAGTTTGCCACAATTTGCATCTCATTCCTATGATAATAAATGGAAACAAATTAACATTAACAAGTGAAACAAAATGAGCTGTATTAGATCTGAGGGACAGTGTCATGAGTGACTGGACTGTAAATGCGGGGCAGCTAGGCAGCCTAAGGAAAGCGACCTACTGACCTGTTGATTGCCCAGCGTGTGCAGCTCCAGTGAGGTCAGAGCAAAGGAGAGGAGGCCATAGACACACATGCAAGCGGTGCTTGTGGTACACTGGAAAGAGAAAGGAGTGAATGTCTAAGTCTGAGTAACACAACTTTTTCCAAGACTCAGCCATCATATCAGTAGTGTCCTAAAAAACAAATGCAAAAGGAATCACAAACATTACTAATTTTCCTAATTTAGTTACAAGATTAGGAAGAAGAACTCACAAACAGAAGAACACAGGAATAAAACCAAACTCTAAAGGACCAAAGATTTTGTGGATAACAAGGCAAGAGTCTGGATACCTACTAGAGGCTCTAAGAGCTAATCAAAAAGACACACCAATATCCACCAACCTGCAGCACTAAGAGCTGCCTGCCTGTTGGCTGCTTTCTGTTTTAAGACTAATTTCTTTTTTTGTTTTTTGAGACAGGATTTCTCTGTGTGGCCCTGACTGTCCTGGAACGCCCTTTGTAGACCAAGCTGGCCTTGAACCCAGAGATTTACCTGTGCCTGCCTCCTAAGTGCTGGGATCAAAGGCATGCACCACCACTACCCAGCTAAGAGTAATTTCTTTTTAAAAATTCTTGTGGTACAGTTTGAACCCAAGGTCTCATGAAGCAATGACTGGGCTCATATTCTACACTGAGCTTAATCTCCAGCCACAAAGGGTAGTTTTCAGAGCAGCTTTAGGGTGACATCAGAGTTGTCACACTGCCCTAAAATTTCCATTTGGCTTATTCATCTCCTTCCAACCATCCTTGGCAGCAGCTGTTCTTTTGACAGCCCCAGAGTGTCATAATGCTGGAGCCACACACTGTTTGGCTTCCTCAAACTTACTTCTTTTACTTAGTTATATGTATCAGGATTCTCCTGTCTTTTTTCACTGGGGGGGGGGGGGTTAGGACAACTGGGAATCAAACCCAGTGTTTCATGTATGCTGTGTGAATACTGTATAACTGAGCCATATCTACAGCCCTCTTCTATGTTTTCTCATGGTTTCTTCTTAAAAGTGAACAATCCACTGTCCTATTTGCCAGAGTTTACTTATAGCTACTAAAGGGCATTTTCCCCAGCACTATGAAGGTAATTATGGCGACAATGATGCTACAAACATCTGTGAACAGTCTCTTCTACTCTTCTACTCAGTAGGGTAAAAACCAATGATTACAACCTCTAAATTTCCATTTTTATTTTGCCTTATTTTTGGTGGCACAGAAGATTAATTCCAAGGCCAGATGTATACTGGGTAAACACCTGACCACTGAGCCTGCTCCTGATGTTTCACTTTAGCACATCAACATAAGCTGACTAACCAGCCAAACTCCATTTGAGCCCCAACAAAAACTCCAAAGTTTCTCATTCATGCTTACAGCTGAGTAAGTTCCCACTCAGATGTCCCCAGTCATCCTCTACAACAGTGGGTCTCATATTCCTAATGCTTCAGCCCTTTAATATAGTTCCTGAGATTGGGGTGACCCCCACCTTAAAATTATTTCGTTTCTATTTCAAAACTGTAGTTTTGCTACTGTTATGAATCGTAATGTAAATATTTGTGTTTTCTGATGGTCATAGGTGACCCCTGTGAAAGGGTTGTTGGACCCCTAATAGGGTCAGAACCTACAGGTTGAGAACAAGATTCAAACTCATCATCAGTTCAAACTGTTTACCATTTGCTCAGTATTATTGTTTGGGTCAAATTACACCTTTCTCAGTTTGTTTTCTAATGTGTAAGTCACACAGTACTCCAAGCAGAGCTGTTACCTAGACTGAGTAAGATACCACTGGAGAGGGCTGGAGAGATGGCTCAGAGGTTAAGAGCACTGACTGCTCTTCCAGAGGCCCTGAGTTCAATTCCCAGCAACCACATGGTGGCTCACAACCATCCGTTATGAGATCTGGTGTCCTCTTCTGATGTGCAGATATACATAGAAGCAGAATGTTGTATACATAATAAAATCTTTAAAAAAAAAATACCACTCGAGAGAGTGAGTACGCTGTCTGACCACCTACAAATGCCAGTGAAAACATCATCACAAAGCTGGCACAGTGGCACATGCCTGTAATTCCAGCCCTTGAGAGGCTATGGCAGGAGGCTCATGAGTCTTTACCTCAATAAAGAATAAAAATCACAGCTAGGCTGTGGTGGTGCACGCCTTTAATCCTAGCACTCTGGAGGCAGATGGATCTCTGTGAGTTCGAGGCCAGTCTACAGAACGAGTTCCAGGACAGCTTCCAAAGCTACACAGAGCAACTCTGTCTCAAAAAACAAAACAAAACAAACAAACAAACAAAAAAACAGAAAGAATAAAAATCACAATGACAGGCTGAAGAGATGGCTCAGAGGTTAAGAGCACTGGCTGTTGTTCCAAAGGTCCTGAGTTCAATTCCCAGGAACCACAAGGTGGCTCACAACCATCTGTAATGAGATCTGATGCCCTCTTCAGGCATGAAGAGACACGTGCAGGCAGAATACTATATACATACTAAATAAATAAATAAATAAATAAATAAAATCACAATGATCAATGTTACTACCAAAGTTGTCAGTGTTCTTCTCCAGGGCCTGCCCTCTGCAATCTTACCTACCAACAACTTGAGACTTACATCATTTCCCCCACTGGCAAGTGACCGAAGCAGTCGAGTTAAGTACTGAAACACATTCAGCTGGATGGCTGTGCCACCTATTTTCCTGACCACACTGCTGGTCTCTTCTGGGTTCAGTGTGTGACGGAGGAGAGCCCAGGCCAAAAGTACAGGGGCGTGATGTGGAATGTCTCCCAAGGTCAACATCACACGATCCATATCCTAATGAGAAGAGAAAACACTTGTGTCTATGAAAAGAAAAGGTCCAGATCCAGCCAGGCATGTCATCATGCTCAGCAAGCCTCAACTGGAGACACTCACTCTCCTGCACCAACACTGCACACACACTTCTTCACCCCAAACACCTTGCTAACACACCCAATTACTCCTACATTTACCCACAACTTTTTCTACTGGTTTTATTAGAATCTTAGTTTAAAACTATAAAACACATGTACAAATCGAGAATTAGAGATGTTATCAGCCTGATGCTTGTTGAACTTTGCATGACCTCCCACTTTCTACTCATTCTAACTCAGTGTTTGTTCATCCTTATCTTTTTTTCACAAAACCTACAAATGCTCATAACCACAAAAAATTTTGTCCTGGGACCACCTCGGTCGGTAACTCAACTACCTACTGCAGAGTCAATTATCATCTCTGCACAATTAACTTTGACTTCTCCTAGACCTAAATAAAAATACGAACTGAAAATTCTGTGCATCAGGATAATTTAGCAGCTAAAAACTAACTAGAAAGCAACTGAAGAAAGAAAAATGTGCTTCCAAGTTCACCTGACAAACAAGCCCATCTTGAGCAAACTGGTGCAGCTCTCTCCTGTCATCCAAGGCACACTTGTGCAAGGACTCGATATCCATGCCTTCCACCAGGATGAGGGCACTGAAGTACCTGAAAAGGACAACCCACACCACAGGACCATTCAGCTGTGTTGAAACTGACTGAAGATGTAAGACACTCGCTTATCAATAGTTACTAGTGAGTATTTTCACATTCTTTGCTATCACTGAGCTTTTAAATATAGAGGTTGCTTGATTTTGTGGTGCTGAGGACCAAACCCAGAGCCTGTGTGTGTCAAGTATGCATCTCACCACTCAAGCTGTATCTCATACCCTTGGAATGTACTTTATGCTCCCTTTTTCAGTATATCTCAAATTCAAGTACTTGACACTGGCCTGTTGCGGGGCCTATTATTCAGGAAGCTCAGAACTAGCCCTGAAGATATACACAGCTACAAACCACATCTAAACCAGCTCTCACTCCTCAAATGTATTTCTTTGCTCATTGAGAAAATAAGCCTCAACATGTGGCTATATCCATGGCCATCAGTACAGAAAAAATAAATTCAAAGACTATAGGCAGTGACCTCAAAGAAGGCAAAGAATACACATCTTGCTTATCAGTGTCATCATGGCACTTGCACTGTGCCTGCAGTAGTTGCTCAACAAGTACTCTTGTTGAATGGATGAATGAACCTCTTAGATTAAGACAGAATGTCTTTGGGGCTAATGAGATGGCTCAGCAGCTAAGAACACCTGCTGCTCCTGCAGAGGATCCTGCTCAGTTCACAGCACCCATATGGCTCATAACCATTTGTAACATCAATTTCAAGGGATTCAATGCCTTCTTCTGCCTTCTATAGGCACCAGGCACACAAATAGTATACATGCATACTTGATGGCAAAACATTCTTTTTTAGAAAAGTAAAAATACATTTTAAAATGAATAAAGAATAGGAGGGTTTTTCGAGAACAAGTCCCTTAATTACAGACTATACTTCCTGTGTGAAAAGGAACACGTCAGCACACGTACCCACTTCTCTACCCACTCAAAGAAAGGTACATCTTCCCTCTCCATTTCAACACAGAGCCACTGTAACACCAATGGTCTAAACACTGTAAAAGTTTCATAAACTGCAATTCATTTAGACTCACCCAATCCGATCTACAAAAGGATCCATGGTTTCATCCACCAGGTGTCTATTGGTCTGCCTACTACCAAATCCTTGGTCCTTGAACATTTTGGTTAGTATCAGTAGGTCATTGGGCGACATCTCAAAGTACGCATAATAGAGGAAAATAATTTCTAGCAGCATAGACTGCTCCCGGAGACACTGAACAAACCATCGAGACACCTGGCGCTCAGTCTGCAACAATATAGAGAAAATGGTAGAGAAAGTTAAACTTGACAACAAATTACTTTTTTCTTTTTCCTATTCTTTCTTCCTTTTTTTTTTTTTTTCCCTTCCCCACGCCCTTTCTTCCTTTTTTAAATGATTTATTTATGGTGTATGCAGTGTTCTGTCTGCAGGGCAGAAGAGGGTACCAGATCTCATTACAGACGGCTGTGAACCACCATGTGGTTGCTGGGAAGTGAACTCAGGACTTCTGGAAGACCAGCTAGTGTTTTTAACCACTGAGCTATCTCGTCAGCACCTCTTTTTCTCTTGTTATAGACAAGGTCTCACTAAGTATCCCTGGCTAGTTTGGAACTGCCTATGCAGACTAGGCTGACCTCAAACTCAGGGATATCTACCTGTATTTGCCTCCCAAGTGCTGGCATTAAAGAGGAATGTACCACCATATCCATCCCTGAAAATGTTATTTTTTTATTACATAATATGTGCATAATTATAGTTTTTAAAATACAAGAATAAAGTATAAAAATGATGTCCTTGTGTCAGGCAGTGGTGGTGCATGCCTTTAATCCCGGCACCTGGGGGCAGAGGCAGGTGCATCTTTGAGTTCGAGGTGAGTCTAGTTTACAGAGTGAGTTCCAGGACAGCCAGGACTGCTAGAGAGAAACCCTGTCTTGAACAGAAAAAAAAAAATAGAGGGGAAAGAATGATGTCCCTATGATTTCTTTTTCTTCCTTCCTTCCTTTCCTTCTTTCTTTCTTCCTTTCTTTCTTTTGCTAGACAGGATTTCTCTGTGTAACTTTGGAGCCTGTCCTAGAACTTGCTCTGTAGAACAGGCCGACCACCAACTCATAGAGATATGCCTGCCTCTGTCCCCTGAGCAGTGGGATTAAAAGCGTGCGCCACCACCATCCAGCTTCCCTGTAATTTCTATTGCCCAGTCATCTATCTAGTACATCTATCTTGTACAAAGCAACTAGTTTTAGAATCTAGTCTCCTTTCAGCAATGTGCCAAACATAATGGCTGATTCAATATATATTTGCTCTCTAAACCAAGTAGCATATTACACAAGTTACTTACCTTTTTTATTTAATAATGTCATTATTTTTTTTAAAGATGTGTTTATTGTGTATACAGTAGCCAGATCTTATTACAGATTGTTGTGAGCTATCATATGCTTGCTGAGAATTGAACTCAGGACCTCTGGAAGACCAACTAGTGTTCTTAACCACTAAGCCATCTCTCCAGCCCCAACAATGTCAAGGATAAATTCCTACAACAGTGTATTTTCCACTCCTTTTCACAGATGCATTTAGTGATTTGCATTTAGTGATTTGCTACATAATATAGTCACTTCTTCTAATGTTGTGTAGAATTTCCCTGCATATAAATGTTATAATTTCAGAGTCCACTTGGAATAATACATTGAGGGAGGGAGTTAGATGGGGTGTGTGACAGTCTCATGTTATTCAGAGTGAGTGAGTGTGTGTGTGTGTGTGTGAGAGAGAGAGAGAGAGACAGAGACAGAGACAGAGACAGAGACAGAGAGACAGCCTCATGCTGTCCATGCTAGCCTTGAACTTACTATATAGCTGAGGCTAATCCTGAACCCCTGATTCTTTTGCTCTGCTTCCCAAGTGCTAAGATTATAAGTGTGCAACAAACCCAGCGTACTACAAATCTTCACTAACATAATCATGCTACAAAGCCTACAGAACAATTTGGCAAAACAATTGGCAAACAGAAGATCTGGCCAACTTTAAACAGCTGATATTTATAGATCATCACACTCTATAACTGTCAAGCACACATTCTTTTCAAGAAGACACGAACATGGTATATTCACCAATAAATATCCCATGGTGGGCAATAAACATGGGACAAGAATTAGAGATAGACTCTATGACAAGAACATGCCATAAGAGCTAGAGGGACAGTGCCTTTTAAAACACTGCAAGGAGCTGCTGGGTGTGGATCATGCCTGTAATCCCAGGACTCAGATACTAAGACTTTAGGAATAACCTGAGTTCAAGGACACTCGGGACTATTTAGTGACATCTAGACTAGCCTAGGCTACAGAGTGAAACCCACCTTTACAAGAAAATCAGGCATCAATGCCAGGCACGCTTAATCCCAGAACTCAAGAGGCAGGAGGACCAAAAGTTCAAGGCTATCCTGAACTATATGTTCAGTTTGAGGCCAACTAACTAGTGTTATAGGAAAGCCTGTCGCAAATAATAAAATAAATGTAAGTATACTGATCCTAACATAAGCAAATTTAACATAATTAGCCAGGCATGATGGTGTATGTTTATAATCCTAACACTTGGGAAGCTGAGGCAGAGTATCACTATGAGTTTCAGGCCAGCCCAAACAGAAGAATGAGACTCTATCTCAAAAACTGAAAAGATAGCTCAATGAGTAAGAATACTTGCTGTCAAGTTTGATGACCTGAATACAACCACCAGAATGGGCAGGAGAGAAGCAACTCCTGCTGCATTTCCTCTGACCTATGTATGCACACTGTGGAATCTACACACACACAGACACCTTGTTTTGGGTAGCAGAATGGGCATTGAAGCTAGGGTCTCAAGTGTATGAGCTAAAGCCCCATCTAGATACTGATTTTCTTCTTTTTAACTTGGTTTCTAGGAAAAGGTCTACAATACAGATGGCATTTGGTTCTCCAGTTGGCTACACAATGGTTCTAGTACCATTTAACTGCATGATCTTAGTTCTCACTAGTAAAATGTCTTTTTCTTACATGTACTTTACTATGGATGTTTTGCCTATCTATATATCTGTGGTACACATTTGCGCAGAAATCTGCAGAGGCCACCAACGTTTCAGATTCCCAGGAACTGAAGTTACTGATGACTGTGAGCCACCATGTGGGGGCTGGGAATTGAACCCAAGGTCCTCTGGAAGAACAGCCACTGAACCATCTCTCCTGCCCCAAATGTCAGCTGTTTTCACATTAATTTCCCATCAGTTTTTGTGTCTATTCACATGCTAACTTGTAGCTTTATATTACTATTCTTTCTCTGCTTTTAGGGGACTGGAGCACACTGCAATGGAGCACATTATCTACCTTATTTCAGTTCTCCAGTAGCATAAAAGAAATTAATTTTATGATCTGATAAGGCTATTTCTCCATTTTCCTGGCTTCCTTTTATATGGTGTTTAAAATCACTAATTTCAAAACAATGAACAAAGCAAAAACAAAGGCTTTTTTTTTCTTCTTCTTCTTTTTTTTTGTTTTTATTTTTGTTTTTCCAGACTGGGTTTTCTCTGTGTAGCTTTGGAGCCTATCCTGGCACTCGCTCTGGAGACCAGGCTGGCCTTGAACTCACAGAGATCCACCTGCCTCTGCCTCCCGAGTGCTGGGATTAAAGGCGTGCGCCACCAATGCCCGGCTAGTATTCTATTAACTACTAAGACAGTATTTTAGGTAATAAAGTAAAAGACAAAGGGGGTGGGGTGGGCTATCACACAATAATCCTAATACAAATGAGGAAAGAAAAGGAAAAGGGGTGGGGGAGAGACAAAATGGACCAAGATAAAAGTTCAGAATTAAGCCGGGTGTTGGTGGCGCACGCCTTTAATCCCAGCACTCGGGAGGCAGAGGCAGGGAGATCTCTGTGAGTTCAAGACCAACCTGGTCTACAAGACCTAGTTCCAGGACAGCCTCCAAAGCCACAAAGAAACCCTGTCTCAAAAAACAACAACAACAACAACAACAAAAAGTTCAGAATTAGGCACCATCAATCAATGTTTTATTCTGACACAATTCCCTCTGCGCTGAAGAACCCGCACATGTGCTCAGCTATGTACCTCTCCTAGGGCTCCCTGAACAAGGCATGTTATTCTTCTGACTAGAGATGAGCACAAGTACTACATACCATTAGATTGCCATGTGTCTCCCAGGTCGGTGCTTCCATTCGGTACAGCTCCTCAAACTGCTGTCTGTATTTTAAAACTAGTTCCTTCTCCAGTTTGTCAACACAGTCTGCGTATTCAGCCTTAAAAAGCAGAACACAGTAATGCATGTGTAGTATAAAAGGCAAACATTCAAGTGTATATGAGTAATATGAAATTATTTAAATCAGAAGGACAAGGGGTACAGAGAACAAAGACAAGCTGAGCTCACCCTATAGGGATGTCGTTCATCTTGGAAATATGTCAGAAGATGTAAGACACAACGAAGAATGCAGGTTCTTTCTTCATAGTAATAATCTGCAATCTAGGGGGAAACACACAAAAGTTCAAAAATCAGTTCTCACTCTTGCAAAAAGAAGACTCAACTTCACAACTGCTAATAATCAGATCATTCAAACATGTGCTTGGAGGGCAGGAAAGACGGCTCAGTAGATAAAGGCACTGTTCAACAAGCCTGACAACCTGAGTTCAGTCTCCAGGACCACATGTATGGTAGAAGAAGAGAACCAACTCCCTCAAGTCGTTCCCCATGCTTTCTATGAAGGCATATACAATAAATACTTTAAAATTCACTTCATTCTATTTTTATTTGTATGCATGTATGTATGTATCACATACGTATAGGTGCTTACCAAGGCCAGAGGAAAAAGAAGGGCAATAACGCCCTAGAACTGGAGTTATAGGTATTTGTGAGCCGCCACATGGGTTCAAGGAACCCAACTTGGGTCATCTGGAACAGCAGCAAGTGCTCTTAACCAATGAGCCACCTCCAAGTCCTAAAAAGCATTTTATTACATGAACAGAAAATACCCCTCGCCGGGAGTTGGTGGCGCACGCCTTTAGTCCCAGCACTAGGGAGGCAGAGGCAGGCAGATCTCTGTGAGTTCGAGACCAGCCTGGTCTCCAGAGCGAGTGCCAGGATTGACTCCAAAGCTACACAGAGAAACTCTGTCTCGAAAAACCAAAAAAAGAAAAAAGGAAAAGGAAAAGAAAAAGAAAAAGAAAAGAAAATACCCCTCTGTAGCAGACTTTCTTGTACTGCCAGTCCCCAGATCATGACATGGAGACTTATTAGTTATGAATGCTTAGCCTTACCCCACTAGGTCTTAGAACTTTAACTTGCTTCTCTTCATCTACTTTCCTGCTTCTTCTGTGGCTGGCTGGCCCTGGGAGTCTTTCTTTCTCCCTTGTTCTCTTTTCTCTTTTGAGCCTAGATTTTTTCCTTCTACTTATTCTCTCAGCCAGCCCTTCCTATCACTCTACTGGCCACTGGCCATTCAGCTTTTTATTAGACCAATCAACTGCCTTAGGCAAGCAAGGCAAAACAACAACACATCTTCACATAATTAAACAAATGCAACACACTTTACATAAATATTCTGCAACATAAACATAGTTAAAGTAGTATTTCACAACACCCCTCCACAAAAATAAACCATAAACCAAGAAATAAGCCATGAAAGAGAAAGGGAATTATTATTTAATAATCTAAACACATTTCCAAAATACTTTTCTAGCACGAGTTCTCAGAGATCCCAAATAACATCAAAGTTACAAACTGGCAGGTCAAATACATGAAGTAAATGTACAACTACCAGAGCTACATGCTCTAACCACACACAACCAATGGACTTGAGTTGTACTGAGTATCAACAGTTACTATTCTAGTAGTCAAATCCACAGATAGATCCAAAGTGAGAAGGCTGTAGGACAGGTAAGGAGTACAGGAATACAAACTAATCCTGCTGAATTTAATCTAAAAGGACTGAGAGTGGGACTCAGTGGTGGAATGCTTCCTTGTATTTTGAGGCTCTGAGTTAATCACCAGCATATCCTTCCCACCAAAAATATCAAGTTAACTGAGCCTTAGAGAATAGCCATCTATGAATGAGTTGTCAGCACCAGCAGCAGAAGAAACTCTGGGAAAAACTCCTTGGCTGGGTCCTGTGGCTAAGAAGACTCAACGAAGAACTAAACACTCAGCCAAGAGAGTGTTGGCATATGCCTTTATTACGTAGTACTGAGGAGACAGAAGTAAGTGGATCTACATGAGTTCTATGCCAGCCTGGTTGACATAGTAAATTCCAGACCAGCCAGGAATACACAGTAAGACCCTGTCTGAAAAACAAACAAACAAACAACAATGACAAAAAAAAAACAAAAACAAATGAAAAGGCAGGAATACCCAGAAAAACAGGGTCTAGGAGATGTCACACAATTGTTTATTAAAGAATGAAACATCAATTAGCGCTTACCTTAAGGGTTAAGGCCTGGCTCTGCCTCTCATCTTGCAGGACCGTCTGAAGGAAAACAGAGCAGTCAAGAGGCTGTCTTACAGGCAGAATTCAACTGGCAAAGAAAAAGATGCACCACACCCTTCATGACTACCCATCTATTTCTTTTCTGTAAACATTTCCACCTTATGTTTAGGCCAGGTCTAACCAGATGCCCAACTCATTTCTCTGTTCTCTGGCCTGTCTCTTTATACATAAAACTAAAGCTGAGCAGCCTGGGTACTCTCTTAGACCTCTCATTTATATGTAATTCTTCAAAATTTCAAGTACTACAAGAATGAAGACAGGTGTCAGCTTAAATATACATTGGGTTCTTTCCAGCCTTTAAAAGTCTTGCCTCAGGGCTGGAGAGATGGCTCAGCAGTTAAGAACATTGGCTGCTCTTCCAGAGGGACTTGGGTTCAGTTCCCAGCGCCCACATGGCAGCTCAGAACTGTCTGTAGTTACAGTTCTATAGGATCAGACACCCTCACACAGACATGCAGGCAGGTAAAACATTAATGTACATAAAATAAAAATGAATAATTCATTAAAAGTCTTGCCTCAGGGACTGGAGAAATGGCTCAATAGCACAGATTGCTCTTAACCACTGAACCCAGGTTCAATTCCCAGCACCCACATAGCAGCTCACAGCTGTCTGTAACTCAAGTTCTATGGGACCCAAAACCCTCATACAGATGTACATGCAGGTAAAACAACAATGTACCCAAAATAAAAATAAACTACGAAAAACAATCTTGCCTCAGCTGGACAGTGGTGGTACACCACTTTAATCCCAGCACTCAGGAGGCAGAGGCAGGAAGATCTCTGTGAGTTTGAGGCCATCCTGGTTTACAGAGTGAATTCCAGGACAGCCAGGGCTATGCAGAGAAACCCTATCTCGAAAACAAATAAATGAATAAATAAATAAACAAAGTAAGTAGGTCTAGCCTAGGCACCTGTGTATCTCATAATCTCTTGTGTAAAGAGTCAGGGATGGAAATTTCCAAGAAGCAAGGTGGATGGCAGCTGGGCAGAAACACAAACCTTGAGTGCATCCCGAGTCCCCCTGTAATCCTCCTGAAGGTAACACTGCAGTAACTGCACACTCTGCTCTTCATCCAGACCCTAAAGCACAGAAGTCTTACGTGAGCAGCAGCCACTGAATCTCAGAATTTTTATTAACATCATTAATAATGAGGCCGCAACACCCACACACACCATAAACTGATCCCCCCCCCAACACTTAATAACTTTTACTCACCAAGAACTTGCTGATTCGTAAGCCCAGTTCCTTCAGCGGTGACGCTACATCTTTATTAGCTTTCACTCTTTCAGCTGAACTTGAACTATGAGAAAAGCAGTGAGTTATTTCGTCATTCACAATGACTCTCAAGGGTATAAAATAGAAACACCGGATGACACTTTAGTACTGGCCTTTTTCCTTTAGTGTCTGTAAAATACACAAACATCATACCACAGACTTTATAGAACAGAACTGGCTTTTGCCTATGAAACAAAATCATGTTGGAGGCCAGAGGTCAATGTCAGATGTCCTCCTCTAACTCCTCAGTAAAGTAACCAAGAGTAACACCACCACTTCTTCTATGGGTCTACCACACACACTCTGAAATGATGTAACAAGAATGGTATTTCACCTCTCAAAAACCCATACCTCAAGTCCATAACGAGAAAAACACCAGATAAGTCTAAGTGGAAGACATCATGTAAAATACTCCCCTAGACTTCTCAAAACTGCTCATGGTCATAAAACCCAGGAAAAAACTGAGATACAGTCACAGTTGAGCCCAAAAGACACATGACAAGTAAATGCTACCTACACACTGCCCTGTACTGGACAACAGAACAAGGAGAGGACATTTGGAGTTAGGATGTAGGACAGCTGGTTGAGTACAGGTGAAAGGCTCTTCAGTTCAATCCAAGAACTCAAACAAATAAAACACGAGGTTATATGTCAGTAAAGTCTAGAGTTTGAGTTTTTTTTTTTTTGTTGTTGTTGTTGTTGTTGTTAGGTTTATCTGGGCATGGTGGCATATGACTTTAATCCCAGCGTTTGTGAGGCAGAGGCATGCTGATATTCTTAAATTCAAGGGCAGCCTAATCTATATAGTAAGTTCAGGACAGCCAGAATAAATAGTGAGACCCTGTCTCAAAAAGCAAACAAAAAATATTACTAGACATCAAATCTAATGTTAAAATTTTGATTTACTTAAGTGTCTGGGTATTTTGCATGCATGTGTGTCTGTTGCCAACAAAGGCCAGAAGACGGTATCAGATCCCCTGGAACCAGGGGCTTGCTGATACTTGCATAGAACTTATATTCCTTGAGTGAATATATCATTTTCTCCAGTAGACAGTGGAGAAGATAAGAAGTAAAAAGAGTCGCTTTGAATTGGTGGAACATGCCTTCAGTCCCAGCACTCAGGCAGAGACAGGCAAATCTCTTGAGTTCCAGGCCAGTCTGATCTACAGCCAGGGCTACACAAGGAAATCCTATCTCAGGGGAAAAAGAAAAGAGAAAGGACAACTGGATTACTGTGAAGGAAGTGATCCTTCCTTTCAACAGATGGGAAAAAATATGCTAGACTCATCCTGCTAATGTTTAAACTAAACTAAAGAGTGAAAGCTAATAAATACTCTCATTCATTTACTAGCCCAGCAATTTAAGAAAACACATAGGGCAAGCCAGGTGGTGGTGACACGTGCCTTTAATCCAAGCACTTGGGAGGCACAGAAAGGTGGATCTCTGTAAGTTCGGGGCCAGCCTGGTCCACAGAGCGAGTTCCAAGACAGCCAGAGCGAGTTCCAGGACAGCCAGGGCTACACAGAGAAACCCTGTCTCGGAAAACAAAACAATACACACAGGGCAGTTCCATATTTGCTGTCGTCCTTGGGGAAAATGGCCATCACTAGACACACAGAATAGCCATACCTGGGAGGTTTGTAGTAAGAAAGCCCTTCTAACAGCCGCTGCCAATATTTATTCAGTTCTGCCTCAATCTGACTCTGCAAAAGAACAAGGTAATTACACAAATGCAACCGAAATCAGGATTACACTACACACTGTGTTTTCCTTTGTGTGTTTTTGAAATGTTTCCACACAGCTTAAAGCAGTGGTTCTCAACCTATGGGTCATGACCCCTTTGTGGTTCAAATGACTCTTTCACAGAGGTCACCTAAAATCATTGGAAAACAGATATTTACAATACGATTCACAACGGTAGCAAAATTAGTTATGAAGCAGCAATGAAAATAATTTTATGGTTGGGGTCACTACAACATGAGAAACTGTATTAAAGGGTAGCAGCCTTAGGAAGATTGAGAACCACTGGTTTGAAGCATTGTAAATATAGAATTCTGTAATCTTTCCTTTGATTAATACTGTAGCATCATTTATGGAAATCTTTGTAAAGGGGCTTTCTAATGATTGCATATTTTACTAAATAACATCATTTCTGCCATTCTTCTAAAATACTAGATACACTTAAGAAGGTTTCTTTTGTTTGTTTGTTTTGTTTTTTCCTCTCACTCTTTCTTTAATAAAATCACATTGTGGGGCTAGAGAGATGGCTTGGCAGTTAACAGCACCCACACAACAGCTCAAAATTATCTATAACTCCAGTTTCAGGGAACCTGACACCCTAATACAGACATAGATGAAGGCAAAACAAATATATGGCTGGAGAGATGGCTCAGAGGTTAAGAGCACTGGCTGCTCTTCCACAGGTCCTGAGTTCAATTCCCAGCAACCACATGGTGGCTCACAACCATCTGTAATGAGATCTGGTGCCCTCTTCTGGCCTGCAGGCATACATGCAGACAGAACACTATACATAATAAATAAATCTTTAAAAAAAATTAAAAAATAAGCTGGGTGTGGTGGTGGATGTCTTTAATCCCAGTACTCAGGAGGCTGAGGCAGGCCGGCCACCAGGCAGTCTACAGAGTGAGTTCCAGGACAGGCTCCAAAGCTACACAGGATAACCCTGTCTTAAAAACCAAAATAGGAAAAGAAAACATTTTAGAACTCACAGTCTCTATGATTTGAAAGCTAAGGCAAACACAGGAAAGAAAGCATGAGACAGGAGGCCTGCCAGCCCTTCTCTGCCCAAGCAGCAGAGGCTCTCTGCAGCCTGTCCTCAGGCAACCTCACCGACAGCATGGACATCTTCACAGAAAAGCAATCAATGTGGTACAAAGATCGACTTAGAAAATATCAGTAGACACAGAAGACAAGACTCCATTTTGGGGTTTTCTATTTTTGTTTTTTTGTTGTTGTTGTTTTTGTTTTGTTTTTTTGTAATAAATGCCATAAAAAAATAAAATTCCTTAAAAAAAATCACAAGAACAGTGCCACTCACCAGTTCTCTAAGAGCTGACCTTCCAAGTAGAATTGTCCACAGTTCTCTACTGCTCCTGAAAAATGAGAAAGCAGAGATAATTTTGCTCTTCTAAGAAAATAAAAACTTAAAGAAATCTGAGACGCAGCCAGGTGGTGGTGGTGCACGCCTGTAATTCAGGCATTTGAGAGGCAGAGGCAGGTGGATCGCTCAAGGCCAGCCTGCTCTACACAGTGAATTCCATGACAACCAGAGCCACACAGTGAAACCCTGTCTCAAAAAAAAAAAAAAAAAAAAAAAAAAAAAAAAAAATTGATATTCAAAGCAAACATAAAATGTAAGAGCAAAGGATTTAAAAATTAGTAGTAGTAGTAGGCTTTTTGAGACAAGGTCTCACTCATATTTCAAACTTCAAATCACTGACAGTATATAAAAAAACAGACATTCAGAGGCTAGAGAGATGGTTCTGCGGTTAATAGCACTGTCTGCTCTTGCAGAGAGAACCTGGGTTCATTTCCCAGCCCCCACATGGAAGCTCACAACTGTCTGTAACTCCAGTTCCAGGAAATCTGACATCCTCATCCAATCCCATAGAGTTCAAGGCCAGCCTAGGCTATATGAGACCCCCATCTTCAGAAACAACAAGAAAAAAAAAAAACAATAGCTGATGAGATGGCTCAGGGTAACTGTGCTTGCTGCCAAGCTTTATCAAAACCAGAGATCAATATGTTAGAAGACAAACAACTCCAGGTGTCCTCTGATCTTCATATTCACACATACATACATACAAAATAAATAATTGTAATTTTTTAAAGTTTTGTAAAGAGATGGAAATGTAGCTCAACTGGCATGCACAAGGCCTCATGTTTGATCCCAGTACTACATAAACAGATGTAGTAATTCACACCCGTAATCCCAGTACTTGGGATGAAGAGAAGTTAAAGCTATATAACAAGTAGCAAATTTAAGCCAGTCACCTTGAGAAACAGGAAATTTTAGCTCAAAAAAACTAAATCTAAGAGCTGGAGAGAACACACACACACACACACACACACGGACTGGGAAGATGTCTCAGCGGATAAAACGCCTGCGGTTTAAGCATAAGGACTGGAGTTCAGGTCCCAGAATCCATGTGCGTGTCTGTGTGTGCATGTGTGTGTGCAACAGGTATCTCTAGTTCCAGCACTTACATGGCAGAGACAAAGGATGACTAGGGCAAGCTAGCTAGCTAGACACAGCATATTGATTCTTCTGGTTTCAACTCAGATTCTTTTTTTTTTTTTTTTTTTTTTTTTTTTTTTTTTTTGGTTTTTTCGAGACAGGGTTTCTCTGTGTAGCTTTGGAGCCTATCCTGGCACTCGCTCTGGAGACCAGGCTGGCCTCGAACTCACAGAGATACACCTGCCTCTATCTCCTGAGTGCTGAGATTAAAGGCGTGTGCCACTAACGCCCGGCTTCAACTCAGATTCTACATCAATGGAACATACATAATCAAAATCACCCCAGGTCCTCCACACATACCCACGTCTATACACACATGAATATGTATTACTGCACAGACACACCCGACAGACAGACTCAAGAGAAAAAAACATGAACTGAAAACTATTTTCCTTATTAAGACTAAAAAACAAAGTATTAGAGTCATGTATACCAAAACTGTCATTAAGGATTTTCCCATCAAAGAGGCTTCAACACAGCTAAAACTTATAAACTTTTCCTAACAGTTAATGCTTCTAAGAAAACAACTTCAATTCTATTAAATCCATAGCTACCAACTCCCACATCAACACACTGCAATCACTATAATCTTTTTCTGACAACAGGATAACATTCACAATTCAAAAAATAATTAGAAGATTAAATTCAGTTATTGGAACAAATGTTTCTTTCTGTGCTGATAAGAAATCAGTCTCAAGGGCTAGTTCCAGGACAGCCTCCAAAGCCACAGAGAAACCCTGTCTCGAAGCTGCCTCCCCGCAAAAAACCAAACCAGTCTCAGGCTATGCAGTTAGTCCCAGCACTTGGCAGGCAGAGGCAGGCAGACCTCTATGAGTTTGAGGCCAGACTGGTCTACAAAGCAAGTTCCAGGTCAGGCTCCAAAGCTACACAGAGAAAGGAGGATGAGGAGGAGGAGGAGGAGGGGCTGGAGAGATGGCTCAGAGGTTCCTGAGTTCGATTCCCAGCAACCACATGGTGGCTCACAATCATCTATAATGAGATCTGGTGCCCTCTTCTGGCATCCAAGCATGTATGTAAGCAGAATACTGTGTACATAATAAATAAATTTTTTAAAAAAAGAAGCCGCCGCTGCCGCTAGTCTCAGGTCCTGAGTTCAATTCCCAGAACCCACATGGTAGCTCACAACCCTCTACAATGAGATCTGGTGCCCTCTTCTGGTTTGCTGGCATACATGCAGGCTGAACACTGTATAGGTTAATAAATTAATCTTTAAAAAAATTTTAAAAAGCCAACCTCAAATAGTCACTAAAGAAATTTAGTAATGTTTTGAAAGTCATCATGCCTTCTCTCAAGGTATACTTATCCTTTGGCTTACTTATCTGACAAGCCTGAATTAGAAAATATAAAAAGCCAGGATTTATTTAAAATGGAAATTGCTGTATGTGTAGTATGAATGAGTGTTGTGGGATATTTGTACTCTATGTGAAGACGTGTTTACTGTGGTTGGTGTAATAAAAAGCTGAACTGTTAATAGCTAGGTATAGGCAGGACTTACGGACAGAGAGAACTCTGGGAAGAAGAAAGGAGAAGCCAGGAGCCAAGGGAATGAAACAGAATGTACAAGATGGAAGAGAAGTAACACTAATGATAGAATGTAGATTAATATAAATGGGTTAATTTAAGTTATAAGAGCTACTTGAGACAAACCTACATTAAAGGACAAGCTTTCATAATTAATATAAGTCTACTTGTCATTTTTTGGGAGATGGCTGACAGAACAGAAAAAGACTCATTCTACACAAGGCTGTGGATTAATTCAGTGTTTCTTTGAAAATCGATTTTTGTTGTTGCTTTTTGTTTTTCAAGACAGGGTTTCTCAGTTGGGTGTTGGTGGCATACACCTTTAATTCCAGCATTCGGGAGGCAGAGACAGGTGGATCTCTGTGAGTTCAAGGCCAGCCTGGTCTAAGAAGTGAGTACCAGGACAGGCTCCAAAGCTATACAGAGAAACCCTGTCTCAAAAAACAAACAAAAACAAAAACAAAACAAAAAAAGAGATCTGCCTGCCTCTGCCTTCCGAGTGTTGGGATTAAAAGCATATGCCGCCACCACCACCACCCGGCTTCTCTGAAAACCCTAATTCTCAGTTGCAGGAATTGTAGCTGAATGAACAGTGTGTGTATCGAGCAATCACAAGGCCCCAGCACCACATAACCAGACCAGATGGCACCATATCTGTGATTCTGGCACTGGAGGCAGAGATCAGGAGTTCTAAGACATCCTCGGTTACACAAGTTCAAGGACAGCCTGATATACAGGTAATGCTGTAACAGAAAAAAGGAGGATCTGAAGAGAGGGCTCCCCAGTGAAAAGTACTTTCAACTCTTTCAGAGACTATGAGTTGGTTTACCAGCATCCATGACAAGCAGCTCAAAACTGCCTGTAACCTCAGCTTCAGGAGATTCAACACTGGCTTCTGGCTTCCACAGATACCCATCACATAATTTTTGGGGGTGGGGGGGTGTTTCGAGACAGGGTTTCTCTGTGCAAGGCCGGCTATTGTGGAACTTGCTATGTAGACTAGGATGGCCTCGAACTCACACAGATCCACCTGCCTATGTCTTCCAAGTCCTGGGATTAAAAGTGTGTTCCACCACTGCCTGACTTAATTTTTTTTAAAAAATAAGTTTAAAAAATAAAATTCTGAGGCTAAGCACAATAGCAAATGCATATAATTCCAAAACTCAGCAAGCTGAGGCAAGTTCAATTTCAAGGCTGGCCTAGGCTACAAAGTGAGACTCTACAAAAGAGGGAAGGGGACAGAAATAAAAATTCTCAATGAAACAGATTGTTTTGCTTGACACATAGCGGGAGGGAGGGACGGCGAGAGGGAGAGAGAGAGAGAGAGGGACGGAGGGAGAGAGAGAGAGAGAGAGACAGAGAGAGAGACAGAGAGAGAGAGAGAGATGTCTCAGTTAAGAGCAATTACTACTCTTGCACAGGAGGTTTAGTTCCCAGCACCCACATAAGGCAGCTCACAATTTGTTGGGATAATCTTTTTGTACACTGTGTGAAGGTATGCTTCTGTCCTTCCTTACCTGCCTAAAACACCTTCTGGTTGGATTAATGAAGAGCTAAATGGCCAATAGCTAGGTTGGAGAAGATAGGTGGGACTTCCAGAGGGAGATAGGAACTCTGGGAGATAACTGCAGCTACGGGACATTCATGAGCAAGATGTGGGGAAGTTGGACATATGGTACTGAGGAGAGGTAAGGAGCCACATGGCAGAATGTAGATTAATATAAACAGGTTGATATAAGTTATAAGACCTAGTTGGGAACAAGCCTAAGCTAAGGCCAAGCTTTCATAATAAAAAGTCTCTGTATCATTATTCAGGAGCTGGCAGTCAAAGTTATATTTGGCACAACAACTGCCTATAACTCCAGTTCTAAATGAATCAATGCCTTCTTCAGCCTCTGTGGGTACTACCACACCTGATACACATTAACTTAGACTATACTTAACTGCTCTTACAGAGAACCCAAATTCAATTCCCTGCACCACAAGGTGACTCACAAGCCTCTGTAATTCCAGTCCAGGGCACTACACAAAAGTGATGCACAGACATACATGCAGGCAAAATACTCATAGACATAAGGAACAATAAAATGGTCAAGAAAAAAAATTTTAGGGTTGGAGAGGTAGCTCAGAGGTTAAGAGCACTGGCTGCTCTTCCAGAGGTCCTGAATTCTATTCCCAGAACCCACATTGTGGCTCACAATCATCCGTAATGAGATCTGGTACCCTCTTGTGGCTGCAGGCATATATGGAGTCAAAATGTTATATACATAATAAATACATAAAAATCTTTAAAAAAAAATTAAAGAAAACCTGTGGGTGTAAAGAATAATCAGAGTCCAGGGCCGGGCATTGGTGGCACACACCTTTAATCCCAGCACTTGGGAGGCAGAGGCAGGTGGATCTCTGTGAGTTCGAGACCACCCTGGTCTACAAGACCCAGTTCCAGACAGCCTCCAAAGCCACAGAGAAACCCTGTCTCGAAAAACAAAAAGAAAACAACAACAACAAAAAAGAATAATCAGTCCATCTGGAGAACACTGAGCTAACCAGGTAATTCTAATAAAAACAGTCCTTTTGAAAGTTGCATTCTACATAGAAATAAATGCAGTTACTGTCTACTTGACTCTATTGGAGTGGCACAGTTCTCTTGTAAACTAAGATTTAAGCTTAGCAACAATAGCTTTTTGTTTGTTTGGGTTTTTTTTGTTGTTGTTGTTGTTTTGTTTTTGTTTTTCGAGACAGGGTTTCTCTGTGTAGCTTTGGAGCCTATCCTGGCAGTCACTCTGGAGACCAGGCTGGACTCAAACTCACAGAAATCCGCCTGCCTCTGCCTCCCAAGTACTGGGATTAAAGGCGTTCGCCACCAACACCTGGCTGCAGCAACAGCTTTTAAAGGTTTATTATGTAGTGTTTTGTATGCAGGTATGCCTGCAGGCCAGAAGAGGGCACCAGATCTCATTACAGATGGTTGTGAGCCACCATGTGATTGCTGAGACTTGAGCTCAGGACCTCTGGAAGAACAGTCAATGCTCTTAGCCACCAAGCCATCTCTCCAACCCCGACTTTTAACTCTTTTGAGATGGGGTTTTACTGTGTAGCTCTAGCTGGCCTGGAACTCAGATATTAGCCTGCCTCTGGGCCCAGCAATAGCAATAGTTTTTCATACCGTGGCGTTACTTGCTCACACACCTGTACCACTCAAGACTTCCAAACACCAAAAGACCTCAAAAATGCCAATCCAATATTCAAACCAACTTTCTGCCAAATTCTGAGTGACTTTCACAAGATTCTGAGTGGCTTAAAGAGCATCATTCCAGTGTCATCAGTGCCAATTCCTATGCACACACCTGCAACTGCAGCAGCAGAAAGGCTGAGGCAGGAGGGTTAGTGTCAGACCACACACAGAACATTAGGCTTCACAGTCATTTCAATAAGCCTCTAAAAAACAACACAAGTGCTCAGGAGGAGATGAGGGAAGCTGAGGCTAATATGGTTTGCTAGAGGGGCTGTATGAGCAAGCTCCAGATTGATAGGGAGACCTCTGCCTTGGTAAAATAGAGATCTAAGAAAAACACCCAACGGCCTCCATATGCACACACACCTGCACATACAAAAGATTAAAAGATTCCCATTTGGAAAAGCAGTAGCTTGAAATGGAAAGGTGACTTCTAAGGGCAACCACAAAGCAATAGACAAAAGGAACAAGATGGATGTTTTCTTGATCCAGATCTCAGGTTTTCAAATAGAGACAACTATTTCCAACTGCTAGGAAGCATGCTTTTCAGTGCCAAAAATCACTCTCCTAACAGACCAAGACAGTGCCTAGAATTCCATTGTCCTCAGGTTGTGGCTTGGTAGTAGAATGTTTACCTTGAATTTCTGAGGTCCTGGGTTTGTTCCCCTAGGACCTCAAAATAAAAATAAGGGGCTGGAGAGATGGCTCAGTGGTTAAGAGCACTGGTGCTCTTCCAGGGGTCCTGAGTTCAATTCCCAGCAACCACATGGTGGCTCACAAGCATCTGTAATGAGATCTGGTGCCCTCTTCTAGCGTGCAGGCATACAGAACACGGTATACATAATAAATAATCTTTAAAAAAAATTAAAAACCCTAGAATCAGTCAAAGAACAGCCTCAAGGATGGGTTTGGTAAGTTCCTCAACACGAATGAAAGCCTACTAGCAAGCCAAACTTTTCCTTTCCTTTTGAAAAATTCACTTTTTTTAACGTTTCATACACGTATGTATCCATAACTGTGGATACAAGGACTAGCATGAAACACCAGAGGAAAGAAAACCAAACTCACAAGGATCATACCTTATCCACAGGAAAATCCAAAGGAAGAGGCTGATTTAGAGAAAGACAGGCGATGTGTGAGATATATACATGTCTGTCTGCGTGTTTAATGGTTCAGCAGGGAACAAAACCAAATGAAACTAGCAGAGTCAATTCCAGATGACAAGTATGTTTAGGTTTTAAGAGTGGAAGTCTGGTCTGTAATGTAGAAGATGTAATAAGCACAGAGGTCTGATTATGGCTTTAGTCTGACAAGTCTTCAATCTGAATCCTCACGGGGATTATCACAGAAGAGGGGGACTATCCCTGTATGAACTGGACTTTTGAGCCATGTGTAACAGGAGGCACCTCTCTCTCCTAGTTGTCAGAAATGAATGAGATAATTCCTGCAAGGCACTTTCCCAGGGTCTGGCGCTAGTAAGCGCTCTTTAAAGGCAAGCAAGACTGGTAATTCATGTCCGTACTTTCCGCACTAAGGCAAAGGCAGGAGGATAGGAGTTCAAGGCCAGCCTGTGATACAGGAGCCCTCGCCTCCAAAAAAAAAAAAAAAAAGCACTCCCTAAGTGAGAACCGTGTGTGTGTGTTTTGTAATAATCCATCTTGTGTCTGAAGCCTGGCGCAGCTACCCGAAATCTCTTGGAAGATGAAGGCATGTCTGCTGAATGAATCAATAACTGGAATCAGCCAAAAATAAAAGAAGGCGGGAACTAAGGACGTCCGCGGGAAGAACCCGCGGCGTGGGCAAGGCACGCCCGAGGCGGGGCAGGGCGCGGGGACGATATGGCGAGGTTCGGGGAGGGGGGTGTCTCCCATGCGACCCCGAAATGTTCTGCAGTGCCTACAGGGAGCGTGCTGGAGGAAGCGTGAGTGCGGCGTGGGTCGACAGAGGGCACAGGGACCACGGAAAGGGAAGGGAGAGCGGCCGGCCCGCTCAAGAAGTGTCCTCAGCGCCGCGAGCGGGGACGGTTTGGACCTAACCGCCTCCGCTGCGAGTGTCCGCCCACCCAGCCTGGCCTCTTCTCCACCACTGCCGCCGAATCCCGTTCCCAACTCCCTCCCCGCTCCCACCCGGCGCCTCACAGCCTCCCCCGCCGCCGCGCCCTCCTCCGCACCTCACACACGGCCCACCGGCGGCAGCCGCCATCTTCGCGCGCGCGTCCCAGCCCCGCCCCCATACACCGGGCCCACGTGACCGAGCCCCTGCGATAGGGGCGGGACTTTCCGTCACGTGATGGTGGGGCGGGCCCAGAATGGGGCTGTCAAGATGGCGCTGCCCAGGGCTGAGAGCCGTCCGCGGTAGAGGCGGTGGAGCCCGTGAGAGGTGAAGAGTGCAAAACATCCGCTACACCGTAGGTCGCAAGCGGTGGAGGGTGACGGGGCGCAGGCTCCCAGGCCTCAGAGTGGCCCGAGTGGAGCACACTTTTGGAAGTTGGAGAAGGTTGCTGGCTGGGTGAAGCTGTTGCCCTCTGCTTGGCTGGTTGAGGCCAAAGCATCCCTTGTCACCAAGCTTCCCCAGGAACCCAAGGCCTAGAGACATGACCCGACAGTGCCCTCCCCCAGTCGCGGAGTCTGGGTTCCCGCTGAGTGGCTCGGTGCTGGCGGAGGCTGCAGTGGTGTTCGCAGTGGTGTTGAGCATCCACGCTGCGGTGTGGGACCGATACTCGTGGTGCGCTGTGGCCCTCGCTGTGCAGGCGTTCTACGTTCAGTACAAGTGGGACCGGCTGCTCCAGCAAGGCAATGCCGTTTTCCAGTTCCGAATGTCCGCGAACAGTGGCTTACTGCCAGCCTCCATGGTCATGCCTTTGCTTGGGCTGGTCATGAAGGAACGCTGCCAGACTGCGGGTAACCCGTACTTCGAGCGCTTTGGCGTTGTGGTTGCAGCCACCGGCATGGCAGTGGCTCTCTTCTCCTCGGTGTTGGCATTGGGCATCACTCGCCCGGTGCCCACCAATACTTGCGCCATCTCGGGTTTGGCCGGAGGCATTATCATTTATATTATGAAGCACTCCCTCAGTGTGGGCGAGGTGATCGAGGTCCTGGAAGTCCTGCTGGTATTTGTTTATCTCAACATGATCCTGCTGTACCTGCTGCCCCGATGCTTCACTCCTGGGGAGGCACTGCTGGTATTAGGTGGCATTAGCTTCGTCCTCAACCAGCTCATCAAGCGCTCTCTGACTGAAAGCCAAGGGGACCCAGTGGACTTCTTCCTGTTGGTGGTGGTGGTAGGGATGGTGCTCATGGGTGTCTTCTTCAGCACCCTCTTTGTCTTCATGGACTCGGGCACATGGGCCTCTTCCATCTTCTTCCACCTCATGACCTGTGTGCTAGGCCTTGGTGTGGTTCTGCCCTGGCTGCACTGGCTCATTCGTAGGAACCCCCTGCTCTGGCTTCTTCAGTTCCTCTTCTACACAGAAACTCGAATTTACCTCCTAGCCTATTGGTCTTTGCTGGCCACCATGGCCTGCCTGGTGGTGCTGTACCAGAATGCCAAGCGGTCATCTTCTGAGTCCAAGAAACACAAGGCTCCTGCCATTACGAGAAAGTATTTCCACTTCATTGTGGTAGCCACTTACATCCCAGGTATCATCTTTGACCGGCCACTACTATATGTGGCTGCCACGGTATGCCTGGCCGTCTTCATCTTCCTGGAATATGTGCGCTATTTCCGAATCAAGCCCTTGGGTCATACTCTTCGGAGCCTTCTGTCCCTCTTCCTGGATGAACGAGACAGTGGACCCCTTATCCTAACACACATCTACCTGCTTCTGGGCATGTCTCTTCCCATTTGGCTGATTCCCAGGCCCTGTACACAGAAGGACAGCCTGGGAGGAGCAAGAGCTCTGGTCCCCTATGCTGGGGTCCTGGCGGTGGGTGTGGGTGATACTGTTGCCTCCATATTTGGCAGCACCATGGGGGAGATCCGCTGGCCTGGAACTAAGAAAACATTCGAGGGGACTATGACATCTATATTTGCACAGATCATCTCTGTAGCTCTGATCTTAATCTTTGACAGTGGAGTAGACCTGAACTACAGTTATGCTTGGATTTTGGGATCTATCAGCACTGTGTCGCTCCTGGAAGCATACACTACTCAAATAGACAATCTCCTTTTGCCTCTCTACCTACTGATATTGCTGATGGCCTAGTAGTAGTAGTAGTAGTAGCAGTTGTGATGGTGTAAACAGAAATAGGGAGAAAGAATAAATGGTTCCCACAGCAGCTACTTGGACACCAAGAACTGAGGAGTGAAAAGTAGATTTGGTTTTTTTCAATTGATTCAGACTTAAAATAAACAAGTAAAGCTCTCTTGGTTTTATTTTTTACTGATAATAAGAATACAAAAAGGCTTAAAGGCATACACCAATTCAGGGAAGTTGTATATGCTGCAGAGCCCCTATCTTGTAGCCTGGGTAGGGCATGGTTAGAGTGGACCTTGTAGGCAGCAGAACAGAAAGCCTAATGCTTAGGTGTCTGGTGACAAACAAATCTGATCAAAATCCTTGGCTTTACAGCTTAACCGTATGGCAGCCTTGGGTGAGTCTACGCCTCAATTCTTCTATCTGTATGATGGGAAGAATGACGGCCTGACGCTCACTGGATCCTAGAAGGCTTTATTAAGAAGTATGTGGCCGGGCTTTGGTGGCCGCACTCCTTTAATCCCAGCACTCGGGAGGCAGAGGCAGGCGGATCTTTGTGAGTTCAAGGCCAGCCTGGTCTCCAGAGCGAGTGCCAGGATAGGCTCCAAAGCTACACAGAGAAACCTTGTCTCAAAAAACCAAAAAAAAAAAAAGAAGAAGAAGAAGAAGAAGAGGTATGTGAGGATGTGAGGTATCCAAAGTATTCTGTCTGGAGGCCATCAAGATGGGTCGGTGGGTAAAAGTACCTGCAAAATGAGGATGAGTCCCTAGAGCCAAATAAAGGTGAGAGGGGAGACCTGACTTCCCAGAGCTGTCTCTGACCTCCATGTGTGCGTGCTGGCTCATGCATGCCTTCTCAGATGCCACACATATACTACACTAAGGGTTTGGTTTTTTGTTTTTTGTTTTTTTTTAAGTATTCAGCCTGTGATCCACCTCTGAAATCAGTATGGGGAAGTGTCACTATTACCCAGGAGTAAACTATTACCCAGAAAAAAAGCCAGGCAAGATAGGAAGAAGATAGGTTGTACTTGGAAACAGGAGTGACCTTTCATCTCCTGGCTTCCCTCAGAGGAAAACCCAAGAGGCGAAGAACTGAATGCATGCAGTGTCTCCTACTTGGACTGGGAAGAACTGAAGAGAGCCATAGGTCAGCTTGTGTGAATAGAAACTCTGAAGAAAGCTGGCCCCACCCTGACTCTGCTGCCTAGGGGAGAGAACTGCTAGCTAGAAGGATGAAGCTAACAGCCCTTACAATCCAGACCTGGCCAAACTTGTATTTCTCTCTTCTGGTGCAGAGTCCAGATCCACAGAGGCTGGGAAGTTCCTGGAGAATTCATAACAGCTCACTGTGGGTACGGGTGCAGGCTGTCTAGTTCCATCCTGAGTCTCCATGTCTCCCAGGGTTTGCACAGAGCCTGGCCCTGTGGCAAGAACTTGGTAGACATTGACTAAACAAATGAACAGTTGTCATCAGTGAGAAGATAATGCCAGGATTCCCAAGACCAGAAGCCAGCTTAAGTCTCTTCTTGGGAATCAATGCCAAGCTCTTTCCCTCAGAGCACCCGGCCATTCCTCTGGTGCCAATGGAAAGTAACAAACCCAATCTTCACTCTCCTCTGTGTCAAAGGTGACCCAATGTTGGAGAAAGGGCACCAGCTTGCTCACTAACTCCCTGCCTGGTCTTGCAAAGCATTCTGCAGAGCTTTCCAGTTGGTAGAGGACTAGACCCAAGCTACAGATGTGGCTGCCAAGGCCAGGCAGGTGACTCAATGATTGAGGGCATAGAACTTTGCTGGGCCTCACTTAAGTAGGGAGGGAAGGAGGCAAGTTTATAATCCTGGCATTCAGAATCCTCCTTGGCTGGAGGACCACAAATGAGGCTATCTTGAGCTACAAAATAAGTTCAGGGTCAGCTTGGGCTACATGAAATGCTATCTTTTTTGTGTGTGTGTGAGATAAGATCTCACATTGTTTTTTTGCTTTTGCTGGCCTGGAATTTGCTAATAGGCTACCCTCTAACTCTCACCTGCTTTGCCTCCCCTCTAGGATCAAAGGCATTTGCTGTGACATCCTGCTCAAAATACTTCTTTTAGAAGGCCACCAAGATAGCTCAGTGGATAGTTCCATGTTAGGGCAGGAGAGATGGCTCAGCTGCTGACTCACCATTCCCAGAATCCAGTTCCAGGAGGATTGACACCCTCTTCCAGACACCAAGCACACACGTGATGCACAGACATACAAGCAGGCAAAACACTCATCCACATAACAAATAAAATAAGTCTTTACACCAGGTGGTAGTACACATATTTAATCCCAGCACTCCAGAGGCAGAGGCTGATGGATCTCTATGAGTTCTAGGACAGCCTAGTCAGCAGAGCTATTTCCAGGACAATCAAGGGTATACAGAATCATCTTTTTTTAAAAAAGTGTGTGTGACACTGGGGGTTGTGAAAAACAACTGAGCTTAAAGCAAAGCTTTTTGCTTTAAGAAGAAAAAAAAAATCTGTGGTTGCAACAGGTAACTCCTCTCTGCTTGCAGTATCTGGTCAGTCTTGAGCTAAGCAGGACTGGAATCTAGTAGTTGTTCTAGAAGGTGCTGCTACCCACAAGAGTGACTCTGGCAGGCCCTCATTGACCTTTGCTACACAGGAATGAAAGGCCCTGAGAAGGAAGGGCCTGGCCTGAGACCTGAGAGCAATCTGGCCTAAGACACAGAGCCATCAAGACCTAAAACTGGATTCCTAGCCCCAGGGTTCTTTCTACCTTCCAGCAGAGGACAAAGGGGTTAGAGATTAGACACTCAGGACTGGAGGGGACAGGATAACAAAGCATTTGTGTGACTTAGGCAGGTCACTTGCCCTTTCCTGGTCAAGTCCTGGGTCCACAAACACAGGTGAGAATCCCTGCCTCTCCTGGGAAGGACTTGAGATAAAGTGTGCACAGTGAGTGTGCACTAATGTTGTTCACTATTATTGTGTGTAACCACATGAAACAGGGTGGGGTGCCCTTAATGGCTTTTTGCAGGGCTGCTAGTGAGAGAAGGATGGATGGAGAAGCTGTGTCCAAAAGTCATTTTGTGGGGGCTAGAGAGATGGCTCAGTGGTTAAGAGCACTGGCTGCTCTTGCAGACAGGTTCAGTTCCCAGCAGACACATGACAGCACACAACCATCTGCAACTCCAGTGCTAGGGAATCCAGCTCCCTCTTCTGGCCTTCACAGGCACTTCACACAAGTGGTGCACAGACTTATACACACACAAAACACTCATATACATAAAATATATTTTAAGTCATTTTTATTCGGTGCTTTACACAGTAATTTCCACCCAAGAGAAAACTGGAACTCAACCAGAATCCTTTCGCTGCTGAGAGGCCAGCTTATACACACACAAAACACTCATATACATAAAATATATCTTAAGTCATTTTTATTCGGTGCTTTACACAGTAATTTCCATCCAAGAGAAAACTGGAACTCAACCAGAATCCTTTCGCTGCTGAGAGGCCACTTCAGGAGGCTGGGTTAGGACAGAAAGGTGACAGAGAGGCAAAATTGTGGAGGAAGCCCTCCACCCAGCCTGGGCTACTGCCCTGCCACTTCTGCTTCTTGGCTCCCTGTCTGCTGGACCAAAGGTCATAGACACCATCAGAAAGAAAGCCCATACAGGAAGATGTGCCCTTGGTTTGCAGCCAGAGGCTCTGGTGTTGACAGCTTCACTCCTTGGAGGACCAGCCCAGTTTTGCCAGGGCCTTTAGATGTACAGTGGGGGGAAAGGCAGCTCAGTTGTGGGCTGGAGCCTGCAGAGTGCAAGAGGTGGCCTTAGGGATCACGGGGCCTAGGCTTGATGGTCTTCTCAGGAAGTTCTCGGAGGCATGTATCAACCCTGCTACCTACCAATTCTCTGGGCTCCAGACAGTGCCAGCAGCAGCCTCCATGAGATGGAAAGTATAGGCCTGGCGCGAGTGGTCCGAGAGGTTCTGCTCACTCTTATGCACCACTTGTCCATGGATCAGGACCAGACCCCCTTGGGGAATAACACCCAGTTACCAGCAAGTCACACCCCCCCCACATAGCACAGTCTTCCTCTTCCCAAGGCAGTAGGGGAACACAGCCCTCCTCCATCAGAGTAAAGTGTCCCCCACCCTCTCTGCTCTATCCTCACACCTGCTCCAGAATGAGGCCATGTGTTAGACAGAGGTTCCCCTGGGATTGAGTCTTTTCCACTGTGACCTGCCCCAGGAAGCCTTAAGAAGGGCCTCCCCAGGGCAGACACACCTTTAATCCCAGTATTTGGAAGACAGAGGCAGGCCTGTATTAGTGAGTTCAAGGCCAGCCTGGTCTACAAAGCAAGTTCCAGGACAGCTAGGGGTACACCGAGAAACCCTGTCTTGAACAAAACAAAAACAAGATAATACAATAATAAAGGCCTTCCCTTCCCCGGACAGGAGAATCAGTCAGCTGGGACCTGATGACACTGACTTGGAACCCAGGATCCCCTTTCCCTATGGAAAGGCAGGCAGCACCTGCCAGCACATACCAAACAATTGTGCAACTCACAGAGTCCCTGTAAACATCCCACAGCCATTGCCTTCTACTTGAAAAAGCTGAGGCTCTGAGATTCAATCATCTACCAAGAAGTGGCCTCTACAAAGGGTCTGGGCTTTGGCCTGACCTCAGAAGCCTGCCGGAAGCATACTGTTTGCTGACATGCAAGCCCAATACCAGCACCCCACCTCCCATTTTGTGATGACTTCATGGCCCTTAGGTGGCAGGCACCATGGAACCCTTTGGATGCCAGGGGAGCCTGACCTCAAAAGCCTGCCGGAAGCATACTGTTTGCTGACATCCAAGCCCAATACCAGCACCCCACCTCCCATTTTGTGATGATTTCATGGCCCTTAGGTGGCAGGCACCATGGAACCCTTTGGATGCCAGGGGTGGGACAAACAGACCTCTAGGCATGACCACCTACCTCTCTGCACTGGCAAAGGCACAAAGAGGTTATTATCCCAGGCTGGCTCTGACCCAAGGAAGCTGGTGGCAGGCCTGGAGCCTGCAGGGGCTCTGATCATTCTTCTTGACACCCGGCCTGTGGGCCAATATGGAGCCTTTAGTCTCTCTTTTCATATGTCCCTCTCCCTGGGAAGGCTGGGCAGAGATAGATAGAGTCCTCACTAGTATGGGAGCCAGGGATGAACCAGAGGCAGCCGTTCTCCAGCGTAGCATCCTCTATCGCAATCCACACGCCCAGCACACGGCCCGGGGGCTCCGTGTACAGAAAGGTAGCATCTTGGTGAGGGAAGACTGCAATAGATCCACCTAGGGGTGAGTACAGGGCCCTTGGCTAGGCCCCACCTCACCTTGGCCAAGTTCTCATTCCATAATCTTCCCAAGACCAATGTTCCTCTCACCAGTGAAGAGTCTCTCACTACTGCCTAGCCTACAAGCTCTAGGCAACAGATTGCATCCCTGAAAGTTTCTCTAGTGTGGTTCCAATTACAGCCTGCCTCAAAGGCCTGCTAGAGGCTTCTATAAGACGACCTAGTAAAATTCCCTAGTACAGGGGACTATAGGCTTGTGTCACCAGACCAGAATAGCATCCATATTTGCATATGAGGTAAGTGTTCCCCACTGACCTATAGCCCTAGTCCTCTTTGTTCTTTTGTTTTGACACAGGGTCTCAGTAAGCAGTCGCTGGAACCAGAGGGTTATGCCACAGCACAGCCTCCTGTTTTATAAGTCAGGAGACATAGCCCCAGCCCCTGCATCCACTTTCTAAAAGCCTTCCTATGTTGATGCCAGGCACACCCTGAATGGAGAAGCCACGAGACAGAGGAGCTTTGTATACAGTGTCAAGTAACATGGTGCCAGTCTCAACTTCATTCTCCTTGGGTAACTGTGCATTCTCAGCACCCAACTTAGTGTTATCCAGAGGAATGTGTCCAGTCAGGGGGGCTTCAAAATCTTTGAGAAGAAAATATGGCCAAGGTAGCTGGATGTGTTGGACTTGGGCCAAGCAGGTACAGGGAGATGGGAGGGGCCAAGGGAGGAGTCAGACTTGGGCAGCAGCAAAGAAGGAAAGAGTTGCCTATGAGAGGTCCAGCGGCAGTCAGCCACTCACCCACCATGGAGTCCCTAAAACTGAATGAGTCAGGGGAGCAGGGTGATCAAAAATACAGATCTGTGAGCTAGAGAGAGAGCTCAGTAGTTAAGAGCACTGACTGCTCCTTCAGAGGAACCCATATGGTGGCTCACAACCATGTGTAACTCCAATTTCAGGGGATGCAACACCCTCTTCTGGTCTTCACAGGCACCACACACATGTGGTACACAGACAAAATATCTATAACATATAAATAAAAAGAAACTCTTCCTGGGTGGGGTGGTACAGAGGCAGAGGCAGACGGATAGCTGTGAGTTCAAGGCCAGCCAGGACAACTAGGGCTGTTACACAGAGAAAACCTGTCCCCCAACAAACAAACAAACCCCCCCCCCAAAAAAAAAAGTAACTCTTTTGTTTGTTTTTCAAGACAAGGTTTCTCTGTGTAGCCCTGGTTGTCCTGGAACTCGATCTGTAGACCAGGCTGGCCTCAAACTCAGAGATCCAACTGCCTCTGCCTTCTGGAGGGCAGGGAGTATCTTTTTTTTTTTTTTTTTTTTTTT